TAATTAATATAGGACTATGATTGTCGCTGACGTTCTCATAATTTTTCTGAAGTTCATGGAGCCGCCTTAAATTATCAGTACTAATTATTACCTTCTTCAGTAGTCTAGACTTCCTTGAGGTTATCAGAGCTTCCCAAAAGGTTTCTGAGTTTCCTTGAAGCTCTAGACTGCCCTGAATATTTCAGTATTTTTTGAAGACAGTGAAGTTGAAGGGACAGCCCTAAGGAGTTGTACGCAATGGTGACGTGGGACTACGTAGTCTTATATAATAAATCTTATTTGTTTACTGTAGCAGGAGCTTGTGATTTGTGTAGGAATAGGAATTTGAGCAGGGTTCTCTCTGTTTATACTCTAGTATGACGCGCTTGAAATAGATGGTCCACAGCAACACACGAAGAGCTACTGATTCCAATCAATAGCGGTGCGACTTCTTCCTCCTTCTATGGATGCTCATGTGGGCTGCAGCTCGCTGCTTGCAGGCTGCCTTTCGTTGTGTACTGGAGAACACCAACACTCACCACGCGGTGATTGAATGAACACCGTTTGGTGAGATCGGATGAAATTCAACTTTGAAATCTGTGTTAGGGAAATCGCTTTGCGCAGGCAATCGGTGGTAATTCTAATTATCATAGAAACAGTTGCACATTCGTGAAATCTTAATAGTAAAATTTTGAAATATGATTAAGTCTTAAAGTTAACAGATGCGTAGAGATATATCTGATCGATTGGTGATAAAATTATTGACTTTGGTTCAGGGGCAGCTGAGTTATTAGCGTTCAAAATCTTTCATAATTCTGTTACATGTTCCATTTTCGGTTTTCACAACGTGTACCCCCATATAGAAATCAAAGACATAGCCCTACGTCAAAAATGGAATTCCTTTGAAGTTGTCATAATTTTCCTTAAGTTGTATAAACTTCATAAACGCTCACGAAACTTTGCCTTCAATGCAATATTTTCGCTGAATTTATCTCAACCTCCCTGATGTGTTCTATGCTTACCTGAAGTTTTATAAATTTGTTTAATGTATTGGCAAATGTTCTGATATGTTTATATGTTCATGGCATATGGCCTGAGGCATCTGAAATTTTTGAATCATTGAATTCTAGGAACATCCCATATCACGAAACTATCTTAACCTTTTTTAAGTATTCTGGAATTTATTGAAGATATCGGTGCATACTAAAAGCTTTCGCATATTTGTAATGACACATCGTTGATGTTCTATAATTTTCGCAATTTTTAAAACTTCTTGAAATGTCCATGAGTTAGAACCATTGAAATGCTCTCATATTTACCGGATGATCAATTTATTTTTATCGCGTTCCAAAAAATCTCTCGGAGCATTGCTGAAATTTCCGGAAATTCCCTGAGTTTCTCCAAACTTCCATCTGGTTTCTGAAATTTCCTTAACATTATTTGGTCTCCCTTTGATTTTTGGATATTTCTTGGGGCTTTCGGAGCTTCCCTGAAGCTCTCAATGATATTGAAGATCTCGGTTCTGCTCTTAAATAAATGGAAGTATGACAGACACATTTGAATTTCCCTGCGATTCTCAGGACTGCTGTGAAATGCCTGAAATATTTATGAAGTTTTCATAGTTTTTTTTGGGGGAGTAAAACCACTGCGTCCATTATTAAACTTTTGTGTTACCCCTATTTCTTGTTTGTATCATGCAAAACGATCACTATTTAACGAGTGAATGGCTGATTGCCCAGTCTGGTATAATATGGTTTATGAAACCAACTACCTTTCCAGGATTTGTAAACCAAATTTCACTAGGTTGTAAGCTAATACTTCCAAGAAATTTAGATCTACGCTTGTGTAATGCACCACAACTGCAGAGCAGATTACAGAAATAACATATATCACTCTGAACCCGACCAATGTTCTTTATGTGATATCTACTAGGACAGTGCCCAGTTACTAGGCCAGTGTATATACTAAGAGCTCTTTTATTGAGCTCTGAGCGCTTTTTGGTGTATGTTATGTTAGGAGTTATAAATCTTTTCGACTGGTTGCAGTTTGTGACAGTCATCCAATTGGTCATCACAAACATGTACACAAGGTAAATTGGGATGCTGGTTGCCTCTCTAAATTCTCGGGATACTTTAAAGGTTCTCGATTATTTTCATCAGCACATTATGGAACTATCCTTAGTTGATATTTAAACTGCTCCAAAAGTTACGGGAACAACCCTTAAGATATCTTAAATTCCCCAAAGGTCTCTATATCTACCTTTTCTGAGGTGCTTAGAACATCTTGAACATTTTAACAATTTTCCATTCTCAATATTTGTGAAGTTCTCTTGACACCAGTGAAGTTTTCCGAAATTCTAAGAGCTTCTTAAAAGTTCCTGCAGTTTTTCGCAAGCTTTGAAAGCTACAGTAAATGTTTAAAGATTTTTCATTTTAACTCGATCATTTAGAACTATAGCATTTATCCTCATCGTCTTTACACTGACTAATGTGAATATAATTTGCACATATGTTGGTCCTATCTATTTCTTAGGAAACTTCGCAATTAATGATAATTTCGATAATTTATGAATTTTACTATACTTGATAAAAAAGCAAGAACTAACAACCAAATCATCGATTGATTTTCTAAAACTAAAGAATCACTTGGAGCCCCGTTCCTTTTCTCATTTTTGCAACTTAAAACTGTCGATTCAAATTCTATTGCAGAGTCATCTTATGGAAAACGTAGATTAAGATGATTATTTAGATAGGCTCTGTTAAAATAAAATTAAACTGGCCACTTCATTCAAGTCTCCAAATCCAGCAGAAATTTTATTTTATTTGCTATTTTTCCCATCTGTTTCAAAATGATTAAGACACAGTCCACCAATCATATAAAGTTTAAAATCTTCCAGATGTTGTACGATTCTAGTATAATGTATAGAAAAGGTACGAATCAAATCGGAACCAAACATCCATTCAAACCTGTCTTCCAGAGTGACTCAAAAGACATATTATCGACAGCAACTAATCATCGAATAAATATTTTGTCGAGAACTATTTATATCGAGAAAATTACCATAATTCAATTTATTACCTGCATGCACAATTTTTACTACCGGTTGGCGATAAAATATCCGTTCACCACTATAACGGTTCCCGTCCAGAAAGCGATGGACCCCTGATCAGATCATAATTCCTAATTGGTGGCCCTGCTCTTTTACCTAGCTAACGACACTGAGTTTTCGTTACATTCTGCCTCCCCGGGCTGAGTGAGGCACAACATCTACGCACTGTTCAATTTTACGATCCTCATTAAGTCGGTTGCTTTGCATTCGAAATTAATATCCGAAACCATCGCGATTTCTAGCCAACCCACTTTAACGAGCAATGACGACAGACGGAAGAAATGGCAGCAACATCATCGCTCGTAAATCCGTATCAGCGGAAAACGTTGTACCATCCGGAGAATCGGTGTGAAGTAACTCGGTAGCCGGACAGCTCAATGGAATAACGAAAGGTCGTATAAAAATAATCCTTTAAACCACTGGACTTAAACTTCCAATTCGCGATAGCAAGGTAGCACAACAAGAGCATTCAGAGCTAACTAGGAGGGAAAAGCAGCAATCAAACGCGTCTTTGGCATCGCTTAAATTTTATGGAATTATAAATATGTAAAGTCACAAAATAAAATAAAATTATACGATCAGAAAGTGATAAATAAAATCCGCTGAATTGGGTCCCGTACGAGTTATTCGACCACCTTCAAACACCGACTGTCACACCTTCCACTTTTCACTTGTCTCCTCGGGGTCGATCCATCCCAAAAATCTTGATCCCGTGAGATCCACCGACCCGATAACGAAAATTGGACCATGCTCAACCGGCTTCTGGTATTTCTCTTTTCTGTAGGCAGGGTTTTCTTCCTGAAATCGCATTCGATCCCCGACCGGCAGCCTTCATGTGTAATTAAAAGAATTTATTAATTTCGTAAATTTATTGAATGTCGAGTTGGTTTTCGTGTTCCTCTTGCTTCCACGAATGTCGGAATTGTTATCAGAATGTTTGATTTGAAATATTTTTATTTGCTTTTGACCATCATTAAACAAGAAATGAGGCAGCTTTCCCGAGTGCGTGAAGGAACCAGAGGTGGTGCTGGTGGTGGTAGTGGTGGTGGTGGCGTAGACGATCACAGTCATCTTACTCACGCACCTTCCACCCAGCCAGTCGGCAGTGGGCTTGTCGCGCTAACAAGATCAACCTCATCCCGAAAGCTGCGTCCGATTTTTGGACCGTTTCAGCGACATCATCACCATCGAAAAAGCGAATGAAACGCTGGTAGCAATGTCGCGAGCGTATAATTTTCATATTAACAACAGTTTTAAAAAGCGATTAAATTGAAGCATTAAAAATGACCGCACTGATTAGGATAGACGGGAGCACAGCGAGGAGGCGATCGGAAATAAATTCAAGCTAATAATTTAAAGTTGTGAGACGAGGTGACCTGACTCAACGGGTGACACACATGGGTTGATGGCTGATGGTTTGAACAGTTATTACGATGCAGGATGGAGTTAGAATTTGAATAAATATTACATCTTTCAATGTTCTTCTCACTTCGATGGTACTCCAATTTTCGAATTAGCTCATCACTTCAGTGGCTCAACCAAAAAGTTTTGACATTGAGTCGAAATTGTATGTTACTTTTCGTGGTACAATTTTCTCATTTCCCTCGCATCTACCAGTCACTAGTTAATTCCGTAGCAAGGTCTAGCCATTTGCCAGACAGCAGTGTATGCTGAAAAAAGAAGCATGGAGTGTATACGCATATTCATACGAGTTTCCAATTATCGCCGGTTGCATGTGGTACCTTGGTGGTGACCGGTGGAGGCGCTTGTGATGCTGGGTGGTTTCGTGGGTTGCGTTTTTGTTTTCACTCATTTTTTGAAGGAAACATTTGATTTGAATCTGAATCGGAAGGTCCAACGGCGTGTATAAAACGGTGCGCATGCTGGGAGGAAAGCATCAGTCTTCAAACAGCTTTTCCAAGTAGTGTTTCAGTGTTCCAACAACCACCCAGGAGATCCAAAATGTTCAAGGTAAGTTCTGACTGCGGATCGTGCAAGTGCGGGACTAATCAGAATTTCAAATTCGATTGCAGATCATCGCTTTGGTTGCCTGTCTGGCCATTGTTGCCTCGGCTCAATACTACGGAGAAGAACACCATGGCCACCACGCTGTGGAGCACAAGGAACACCATGACCATCACGATCATCACCCCAAGTACAAGTACGAATACGGTGTAAAGGACGGTCACTCCGGAGACCACAAGAGCCAGTGGGAACACCGTGATGGGGATGTCGTCAAGGGAGGATACACCCTGGATGAAGCTGATGGCACCCACCGTGAGGTTGAATACTCCTCCGACCACCACAATGGCTTCCAGGCTCATGTCAAGCGCGTCGGACATGGTCACCACCCACATGGCGAGAGCTACGCCAACGTCGATCAACACCACTAAGCAAGTGAAGCGCCGATTGATTGTTACTAAAAAGAAACCCTTTAAGTTCCTACTGCCAAGGTTTGTACCTTGTTGCTAGAAAATTATTCCAACCCCAAATTGACTGAATAGTAAATCGCAGGAACTTCTCAAGTCCTACACCGCAAAAAAAAAACAAACGAAACATTTACATCTCTTTAAGATATCACTATCCTTCAGCAAAGAAACTGAGACAGATAATCAAATCAACAGCAACCAGCCTATAGATACAGTTGTTACACATCGGCTTTGTTCCGTTCCTCCAACACACCCACCACCAACCTCCAAAGCCCGAAGGAATTCAATCCACAATTTTTAATCTCATTAATAAAATTGTCATACATCATATCTCCTATGAATTTGTCAAAAAATTTATCCCCTCCACCGCTCGCCTATCACTCGCCAACCTGCTCGGGAAGTATGATAGCTATCAAAGTCCATCGCGGAGGGCACATTGAAACTGAGAACATGGTCTCCCCGCTCAAGGTAATGTCACAGAAAGAGGAAAATGTATGTTTGTGCGCCTACAACAGTAGTGAGGACAGTTCAACTGACAGGCGAAGGTCCATGATCTCTACAGGTTTATAGCCGTCCCAAGCGCGGAAACCGACGAAGCGTGAGCGGGGACTGAAGTGGAATAAGTTATGAGATGAAGAATTATGCGTAAGCATCAGCGACTGCCGGCCGATACCCCTCTCGAGCAGCAGCAGCAGCAGGTTGACAGGGCGGCTGTGATCTGAGCTTGTGATCGCTCGCGGACGACAAGCTCGAGCGTTGGGAATGGATTAAAATCCTGTCGTTTCGGGTGTAGTTGATTGTCGTTTAATCTTGTTACTTTTGAAAGAATGAAGATAGCGAGTGTGATGCGGGATATGAGAGGTGACGGTGGTGCGGCAATGGACGGGACAGCGCAGATGGTCGTGTGGTTTGATGTGTGGCTATGGAGGAATTGATTATACTATTGGCTGGATAAGCAGGTTGAGTGATATTGGAATGGAATGTTGCAGTTGCAAAGACTGTCACCTTTTTTAACTAGTTTGTTTATTTACTAGGCTCAGTCGTGTGTGACACTTTGCGGAGCCAAAAATCCGTAATTTTTTAATTAACATTTCAAGCAGCAGTAAATCTTGGTATGTATAGAGTACCAATTAGGGTAACCAACTTGAATTGGACCCCTACATATTTTGGACCCTTTTCATATATTTTCCTCGCTTACTGTCTAGTTTCTTCATTTTCATCTGGGTTGATGTTGTAATTAAATTCTTTCAATTACTTGCTATGTCTCAAGATCATTAGTTCACCTCAAATTGCTTACAATTGCTCAATTTATGCAGAAAATATTATCGAAAAAGTTTCATGTTTCGACGTTTGTCAAGAGGAATCGGCGTTAGTGTACTTGTTTTAAATTTGGTCTAAAATATACAATTCAATGATTTTTTTATCAAATCAGTTTATCTGACTTTGGAAGATGTATTTCACGTGTTTATAAAGATTTCACCTTAAGATTTTACTTAAAAAGTATTAAATAAAAAGTGTCCAAAAAAGATCGTAAAAAAATGTTACCAACTTATTTTGGACACTTATCAAATGAGAATCATCAGAAGAGCGACAAAAAAAATTCCGGTTGGTCGATCGTGCTATTATCTCAGATTTCTGATTAAATTGGTAAGTAAATCAATCAAAATTATATGAATTCATTGTTTTTAAATATATTTCTTGTTTATCAGGCGATTCAAAATGGGAAAAACGGCAAAACACGTAGAGTGGTCCACTCTGAGTTTTCCTAGTTCCTAGTTTTCCACAAAAGTTTTCCTATCTCCCAAACGCATTTAACTAAGGGGCTGTTCATAAACTACGTAGACACTTTAGGGGGGTGGGAGCGCTTGGCAGATGTCTACGGTCCATACAATTTTTTAAATTTTGTGTTTGAGACTGTCTTCTACGGAAGGGGGGTTGAAATCTCTCAAAAACCGTCTACGTAGTTTATGAACAGCCCATACAAAAAATAATATGGACTGCAAGCATAGAGTCAGGTCTCCGTATTAAGATTTACTTCTGAATGATTTTTTTTTATGGTATGATCAGTTGTTTCCTTATGTTATATTATATTTCCTCCGTTACTCGCGCCAACTTTTGTAACACGTGTACTCACGCGTTGTACTTTGTACAACAGTGTGAGTTTTCCATTTCCATTTTGCAGCCGAGCTACCAATCGATCTGAAATCAACGAGTATTCCTCAAAAAACTTGCTTTTAACTAAACAAGCTAAATATTTATTACAGTTAACCCCCAAAATATGCAGATAATAGAGAAAATGTAAATGGAAACCGCGTAAATGGTGTCCATACTACGAGGGTTCTGACTTAATTGGTTACAACATGAAATATCTCGAGATCCTGACCAGATAGAAAGTTACTGTCTTTGCCAAAGTAGTTCTAGAGATCATAACTTTTGCTGGTGGACAGTAGTTCAAAATTTACTCACTACATAGCGCTAGTATACATGTGAAGTTCTCGCATGTGATATATCTCAAAATCCTGACCAGATAGAAAGTTACTGTCTTCGAAAAAGTTGTTCAGGAGTTCAAAGCCTATAGTTCAGAATTTTTTCACTATATGGTGCTAGTATATACGTGAAATTCTCATATAAAATATCTCGAAATCCTGATCATATAAAAAGTTACTGTCTTCGGCAAAGTTGTTCAGGAAGTCAAGGCCTTTTTGCTGGTGGACTTAAGTTCAGAGTTTTCTCACTTTGCAACGCTAGTATACATGAGGAATTCTCGCATATAAAATATCTCTAGATCCTGACCAGACAGAAAGTTACTGTCTTCGGCAAAGTTGTTCAGGATGTTAGGATCTTTTCGTTGGTGTACAGTAATTCAGAAATTTCCCTTTACGTGGCACTAGTATGCGGGTCATTCAGAGATATTTTATATGCAAGGATTTCACGTGTCTTTCAACGTCACCTAGTGAGAAAATTATGTACTTTCCACCAACGATAGGGTTTGATCTCCTGGACAACTTTGCCGATTACAGTACATTTTTAGCAGGTCTTGAGATATATCATATGCGAGAATTGCACGTATATACTAGTACCATGAAGTGAAATATTCTGAACTACCGTCCACTAGCCAAAAGGCCTTGATCCCCTGAACAACTTTGCCCAAGACAGTAACATTCTATCTTGTCATGCTCTCTAGATATTTTATATGAGAGAATTTAACGTGTATACTAGAACTACATAGTGAGAAAATTCTGAAATATTCTACACCAAGCAATAGGCTTTGACCTCCTGAACAACTTTTTCAAAGACAGTAACTTTCTATTTGGTCAGGATCTCGAGATATATCATATGCGAGAAGTGTATATGTATACAAACGCCACGTGGTGAGAAAATTCTGAACTACTGTCTACCAGTCGAAAAATCTTGACCCCCTGAACAAGTTTGCCCAATACAGTAACTTTCTAGCTGGTCAAGAACTCGAGCTATTGTATATGCGAGAATTACACGTATATACTAGCGCCTCGTAGTGTGAAATTTCTGAACTACTCCACCAACGAAAAGAGCTTGACTTCCTGAACAACTTTGCTGAAGGCATTTACTTTCTATCTGGTCAGGATCTAGAGATATTTTATACACGAGAATTTCACATGTATACTAGCACCACGAAGTGAGATAATTCTGAACTATTGTACACTAAGAAATAGGCTTTGACCTCCTGAACAACTTTGCCGAAGACAGTAACTTTCTATCTGGTCAGGATCTCGAGATATTCCATGTTGTAACCAATTAAGTCAATCCCACGTAGTATGGACACCGTTTACGCGGTTTCCATTTACATTTTCTCTAGTATCCGCATTTTGGGGGTTAATTGTAATCAAAGTTTAGCTTTTTTAGTTCAAAACTAGTTTTTTGAGGAATACAAGTTGGTTTCAGATCGATTGGCAGCAACAAAATGGCAATGGAAAACTCATATGTGTTGTACAAAGTACAACAGCGCGAGTAACGGGGGGTTAACTTTTATGCATACCGTAAAACGGGGTGTAATTGATCAGCGGGGCAAAATTGATCGCTGAAATTTCTCGTGATATTTTTTCATGTGTAACATGTTTTTCGTTACTAAGCGTACGAATGTATCTTTGTATACATTGTAAAAATATTATGCATAAGTACAGTATTGGGTATACTCAGCGATCAAATTCACCCCGCTGATCAATTTCACCCCGTTTTACGGCACCTTCTTTGAAAATTTTCCCACCTAGACGGACCTAACAAATGCGAGATAGGAAGAAGTGACCGTCGTAATTAATTTTAGGCTCATAGGTTGAAAGAACTTCAGCATGTCCAAAATATATTCGTTCCCATTCAGTGTGTCCAAAATATATTATGGACACTGTCCAAAATTAAGTGGAAGGGTCCAAAATATGTGAATATCATGATGTGAAAAGAATTATTTTTCGAGTATATATCAATAAATAAAACATCTAGTGACATTTTACATCCAAGATGAGTAGCTTTCGAACACAACCGCATGTAAATTGCATAATAATAATAAACAAATAATATTATTTTGACATAAACGTGATCTCACTTCCTCTAGGGGTCCAAAATCAGTTGGTTACCCTACTCGTGGTGGACTCGAGGTAATTGATAACAATTTCGATTGGAAAGAGCTTGGTAGGAAAAAGGTTTCTGAAGCCTTCTTTAGAAACTACTCTCGAAGGGTTGACCAAATCCTGACTGGGCAGGGGCGAGTAGCACAGGAACAGGAGGATAATAAGACTGGGACACAATGGCGGGAAATTGTTAGGAAAGGAGGGGATAGTCACATCAAACTCTAACATCAGACAAACAAAGGAATTCGTAGATCGCTTGCATGTAGGGAAGATCACGTGTTCCCAATACATCTCTTACTTCACGGAAGGGTTGTCTACCTCGGGCCACTAGGGTATCCAATAGTCGTGCTCTGGAGGCGTCATTACCCGGGCAATACCAAACTGCGTGATCGATGTCATCATAACCGGTTCTGCACCTACATATATTGCTGTCAACGAGGTTTATTCTATAGAGATGTGCGTCTAGCGAGTAGTGGT